TGTCCCTGCTGCACGGTAAAGCGGGGCCCCTGGGGCTCGGGACGCCGCGCGGGGGACGGGGTCCTGCCGCCCGAGAGGGGCGCGGGGCGCTCGCCCGGCCTGCGCTGACCGCGCTCTCCGTCCGAAGTGTCCCTGCAGGGCGAGTTCCAGAGGAAGCTGTACAAGGAGCTCGCCAGGAACTACAACCCCCTGGAGAGGCCCGTGGCCAACGACTCGCAACCGCTCACCGTCTACTTCTCCCTGAGCCTCCTGCAGATCGTGGACGTGGTGAGTGCGCGGGGCGGCCCTCCCCGCCGGCAGACTGGCCTGGACCCGGCGCTGCCTCAGTCTCTCCCCGCCCTGCCCGCCCACCTGTGCCCAAGTACTTGGCTCCGAGTTGGGGTGAAGAGCCCAGGCGGGTCCAGCGGCAAGGGCTGGCTCTGCCCCTCCCGTGGCATCCGTGTAGGCAGCCCCGCGGGGCCTGTGGCTATTCTGAGCAGGGGCCTGGCCTGGGCTCTGCAGCTGGCGGGTGTGTTGGGACACCAGGCTGCAGCAGGGACAGCCCTCTCCCCTTGGGCAGCCCCTAGCAGCTGGCCTCCTGCCTGGTGGCCCGTAATGGCAGGGCTGGGCACTTCTGTCAGCCTGCCCTTTCCCCTGGGTGGCTGTCGGTACTGAGACTTCACTGGTACTCCTCTCTGCTCACCCTTCGCAGAAGTGCTCAACTCCTTGGGAAGGGCTGCGGGGCACTCTGCGGAGGCCAAGGTGGCCCTGGTGTGGCTGGGCGGGCAGGGTGGGGCGAGTAGTGATGGCACCGCGGAGGGAGGGAGTTTGGCAGGGAGGGTGAGCAAGGCCAGGGACTCAGGTCCGGAAGGAACAAGGCAGGAGAGGACTCTGGGCAGGAACCATCACCGCCCAGGACTGACCCACACTGCCCACACCTGGGGCCTCCTCCTGGGCGCTGCCTGCTGTGCTGACCGAGTCCTTAGCGTGCTCCTCCCGTGCCCGTCAAATGTGAGCCTCTCCCAGACAGGCGTGTGCGTGCAGGGCCGACGTTTGTGTGAGGAGGCACGGCTGCTCTCCGACAAGTGCTGTGGAGAAGGCAGCGCTGAGCCGTGGTGGGGAGGTGCTTCCTACTGAGCTCAGGGTGCAGGAAAGGAGGTGCAGGTCCCAGTCAGGAGGTCAGAGGCTGGGACAGACACGCTGGCCTGGACCTCACAGGGTCCCAGGGCAGTGGGGTGCAGGGCCAGTGCGGTGGGGAGGCAGGGCTCCAGGCAGGGTGCTTCATAGAGCAGCCCGGCCCTGGGGCTCCTGGGGCTCAGGCGTGCCTGGGGGTCGGCTGGTTTCTGGATGGTTGACCTCAGGTAAGGGCCGTAAGATCCTGAACCTGGACTTTCCCTTCCGTGCAATGAACAAGGCCACGTTTCATTGGTCGTCGCGATAAGGCAGAGCACGTGGAGACATCTCTAAGGCCCTCAAAGCTAGTCCTACCTGGCAGGACCATTTCCTACGGAGGCCACACACAGGCCGACAGGCGGGGGCTGACACTATGCAGTGGCCCCGTGTGTGACACACCAGCACCATGGGCGCCGTCACCTCCACCTCAGAGGAAGGGCCAGGTGGCTGTCAGTGGCCGAGGCTGCAGAGGCAGGCTGGGACGTGGCACCCTGGTCACTGCCAGCTACGTGTGCTGCACTTCCCAGCCAGGCATGCTGGTGTGCACAGTACCTGCTTTCTCACGTGTGAGCAGGTTGTAATCCCATTCCCGGGGTTTAGGAGGACTAAAGAGAGAAGGGTGGTGCACACAGATTTCTGAAGGCTTACTCCGTCATAATGAAAGGTCGGGGTCCTAGCCTATGGCCCCTCCATGGTCAGAGCAGGGCTGGGACGAAAACCCACAGCAGATTTGCAAATCCGTCTGTCCTGCGTCCGCGGCCTCTTAGACTTCGGCAGAACAGAGTGGGATTAATCTGTTTAAACTGGCCGGTCTGTAGCTGATGGCAGGTGATTGCCCCGAGGTCCTGGTGACCTCGGGCCTAGGAGATGGGACTTTGGCGTCTGGCCCGCGGGCTGTCTGAGTCGGAGGCAGAGCCGGGCCTGGCCGCTGGAATATCAGCACCCTGGACAGGGACTCGGCGCGCACTCAGGCCGCGCTGGCTGGGGCCGCCTCCTGCCCACTCATTCCGGCGTGCATCTCCTGGCTGTTTAGGAGCCTTGCTGTGGGCCCTCCATGTTGGCAGGCAGTGGCTGGCTGCGGGGTAGGGACATGACGTAGACAATCACTGACTCCTTTGTCAATTTACCCGCTCGAACATATGAGCTGCCGTTCTGGACCCCGCTGGATTTGGGGCATTCACCAAGGCATACAGGATTTCTACTCCCGGTCACCACTCAGTGTGGCGAGGGGGACCGGTATGTAACTCCTGCATTGCCACCTGGTGAACTGCCACCCGCTCTGTGCAGAGGGCCAGGCATGCACACAGACACGGTCACTCCTAACTGGACCGAGGGGGACTGTTTCCGAGAAGAGGTGGTCCTGCATCTAAACGTGAGCATGGGTTTGCCAGGGAAAGTTGGAGGGCCCCCAGGTAGATGCTGCAGGGGAGGGAGAACCGCGGGCCTCGGGAGTGGTTCGAGGATGCTGCTCCCACAGGTCTGGCTCCACAGCACATCCAGTGTCCTCGTGCTTACTGAGAACTTCTGAAGGAGGGCTGAGGTGCTACGGTTTACAGATCCTTCTGCAAGGTTTGTGCTCCAGAAACACGCCGACGGCGTGACGCTGCAGGAGGTGCTGGGCTGGGAGGGTGCAGACCAGTCAGAGACCTCGCTTTGCCTGGTGCTGGGCATGAGGAGGCAGCATGCCAGGGGTTCTGTGAGTCTGCAGGACCAGCCTGCCGTTGCACATTTTCCTAGAAATGGAAACAATCCAAACCGTGGCATTTGTATCAAGTCCAAGAAGTATAAATTATAGATGGGATGAAAAAATGCGCATGCATTTTAAAGACAAACTGTGACTCTTCTTCAAAGGCATTACTGTCCCAGCGGTGGTCTTTGAGCTACTCAGGCCCCTTGGTGAGACAGTAGGTGGACAGTGGAGGGTATGCTGGGTCTTCTAGGTTTAATCATGTATTTCTTCCATCAGCAAGAGAGACAGAGAGACAGACAGAGGCACAGTCATCCCCAACAGGAGCTTCGTGGTCGCTCCTCCCCAGGCTCCCGCCCACTGTGGTCATGGCACATGTCAGCCTGGTGTGTATGGGGAGACCAGGGGGTGCAGACCCAGGACCTTCCCGTGGCTCTGGCATCGCCAAGTGCTGCATTTCTGCACACCACCGCCCCTGGCCTGCAGGGGGCTTCTAAGTAGGGAGGGTAGTAACCAGATCCGCGTCTAGGGAGAGGAGGCCTAGGCCTTTGAATGTGGGGCCGTGAGAAAGTGTAGAGAAGGAGCGGAGGGCAGAGCTAGCCTGGCCTCGGAGTGCAGGTTCCGGAGGGGCCGGGGTAGGCGTCTGCCTGTGACCGGTAACGTGCATGTGAATGTCTGCTGCAGATGTAACCGGTTAAGTGGAAGTGTCTAAATGACAGTTACCACATCCTCTGACAGACCATGAGTACTAATTTACTTCCTGGGCTGTCCCTGGGCTGGGCATGGGATAATAGTAAGACATCGTTTGGAAGGCGCGAAGTGAGGCTCTGAACTGTCGGCGGTTCAGAGATTGTTCTGCCACTTGGAGTCGGCCACGCATCGGCCACCCGCACGGGTCCCGGGAGAGCCGCAGAAAGCTCAGAGCTGATTTGCACAACTAAACGTGCCTGGCTTGGAAAGCATGTCCAGAAGGTGTTTAAAATGAATAATAGAAATCAACGTTCCATAACAGAAAAATGCAAAACCAATAATTATGCAAGAATGATTTGGGGTACGTCATAGATTCTGAAGTGCAGCTGTAACCTTTCGGGAGCTTTGGCCACCAGACGGTAGAACAAAGCAGCCGTGCCTTTAGGGCATGCTACTGCTGCGGGTGGGAGATGCGGATGTGGCCTGTGTCCCGAGGACTCTGTCATCTGAAGGTCTCTCGTGGCCCTCTGCACAGCTTCACAGATTCATGAGTTTACGTTTATTAGCTGCTGTTTAAAATGCTGCAGCTCCAAATCGATACCACACTCATGTTCTGTTTTGCAAGGGCAGGTCACTCTCCAGTGAGACAGAGAGACGAGAAGGAGGAAGAGGCATCCCTGGGCCGGGGTCACGCAGCAGTCCTTCCTCATCCATTTCTCCCTCCCTTGGGACGTGAGGCAGGCACGACACATAGCCAAGGTGCTTTTCAAGCTAGCAGGACCTGGATTTGAACCATGGTCAGCCATGTGGGACTTGTCTTCCTTAACCACTAAGCTATGAGGCTGGCCCCAAATAAACAGGACGGAGGAGAGAAAGTCACACCCCAGGGCATTCTGGTACAGGCCTCCAGGGCCAGGGAGGTCTCCAGACGGGAACCTGGACCCTCCCACGTGGGCCGGCCTTGCAGGGCATCTGCTTCTGTGCTGCACGGCCTGGTCCTGCTGAGTGTGCGTGCGTGCGTGTGTGCGTGTGTATAATATATGTATACATACTATGTACAGACACTGAGCAGGGAATTATGTCCTGTCCTGTTACGGGACAAGGGGCTGTGGGAAGGCCTGATCGTCTGGCTGGCTGCAGGCTCTGGGCCCATGATGGATGAAGAGCCGACCTGTCTCAGCCGCAGACCACAGGCGCCGAGGAGGAGGAGATGACGGCCGTCACCTGCCAAGGTCCTCACAGCGGGAAATTCACTCTGGGTCTTGCCACTGAAGGCAAAGTGCCCAAGAAGCGTCCTGTCTTGGGCCAAAAGAGGCCATGTCTCCGCGCTGGGAGAAGCCGTGCAGAGGACCAATGCTGGTTGGCTTTGCTCTGTGAGATAAGCCAGGTACTGGAGTGACTCGCAGCAGACTTCGAGTCTCCAGATGGTGGTACGAGTTCCTAATCTAGCACGGGTTCTAAGATCGCACGCAGAGTATATCATATTTGGGGGTTTAAATTAAACAAATTAGGCCAAGGTTGCTCACGGAGTGGGAGTGTGTTTGATTAAGCCTAATTGATACAATTTATGGCTGAAACTGCTGATCGGGAAACACTGTTACTCTAGTAAGGTGTTCTACTGACTTTGAAGTAAGCTTTGAACACACTGCCTAGCTCACAGAGACTCCCAAGTTTCATTTTGGGCATCATTATTTAATCCTGGGTCCCCAGTCCTCAGGGCCACAGACAGGCACTTCCAGGAATGCTGAGTCCTCTGTACCCATGGTCTGCTGTGGAGCGGCTGACGAGGATCCGTGCCCAAGGCCTGGCTCAGTGCTCAGGCTGGACTGCGCTGGCACCTCACGGTCACTGCCCGGGAAGGGGGGTGTTTCTTCCCGCATGCTCTAACTGGGCTGGATGTCACACAGCTATTGTCATGGGGCCGGTTACGGGGGCACAGCTCCGTGGGAGGCTAGCTGTGCGATCCTTGGGGCTACCCGCCCTCCTGTGAGCTGCTGGCCACTCTCTTGCCCGTCCCCTGCAGGTGTTTACTTCCTGTTTGGGTTCACCTTTGGCCAGGCCTAACGCCTCGCTGGCTCGGGGCATGGCATGGGCTCTCAGCCCATTGGTCTGTAAAGGCAGGACGGAACGTGGTTGGGGTGAGGGTGAAGCCAGAGCAAGCAGCGTCCTCACCCCAGGCCGCAGAGGGCTGTCCTAATACGAGTTCCTACTCCCGAATGGTTTTCTCTGCACGCGAGAACATGGACCGGCTGGGATGATGGCCGTGTTTGTCGTTCTCTGCATCCGCACTAAAGCAAGCGGAAGTGAGGGAGCCTGTGTCTCAGCGTGGCCCCATCTCCTGGCAGCTTCCCAAGGCTGATGGCTGTAGGAGGGTAAGCACGCTGCACGTCCTCAGAGCAGCTCTCCAGGCCAGGCAGGGCGGGGTCCTGAAGGAGGGCCACAGGCCTCTCACTGCCAGGATCCCAGGACACCGAGGTGCAGGGGGACAGGGCCGAGGGCTGCGGCATCAGCCCAGGGAGGTGGGGAGTCCTGACCACAGGAGCCTGGGCAGGAGGCTGCTGGACGCAAGGCGATCCTTGCACGGCAGGGCACGAGTCACAGGGCGGGAATTCCCCGGCTCTGCCTCCTTGCTCTGGACGATGTTTCTCCTGCTGTCGGTAGTCTGGGCGTGTCCGTCCTGCACCCCCACGCATACTCACTCTGCGATGGTTGTTAATGCACGTGCTCAGAAGGGAACCCCGAGCAGGGCACGCTCCGCGGTGTTGGTGAGCGAGTGAGCGAGTGACGCTCGGTCCGACCATGGCAGGAGGTCCCGGTGCTGCGCTGTGCCGAGGACCACGGACTTGCACCTTGTGGGTGCAGCTGGAGGAGGGCGTCCAGTCCCACTGGTGGTCAGAAAGCTGTTTGTGTGCACATGTGTGTCTGTGTGTATACGTGTGTGTGCATGTGTGCATGCATGGGAGTTGGCACGCTGCTCATGGCTGGGTGGAGGAGGGGCCCTGATCTTTGTAGTGGAGGGGCTGTGCTGGCTGGGGAAAGGAGCAGGTCCTTTGGTGATGAGGCTGGCTGACGGGCTTCCCGGGACTCACAGAGGGCTCCCCAGTATCAGTGCACCCAGGGGCCTGGCAGAGGGCTCCCGGGTATTGGTGCACCTGGGGGCCTGGCTGCTACTCGTTGATTACTATTTGAAACATGGGCCTTGGTCCCAGGCCGCTGCACACCCCAGAAACCCAAGGCCACTATAATGAGGTTTCGGTGAGAACGCTGGAAAGAAGAAAGCCATTTAATTAGCGTGTTAGTGATTGAGCTCCCAGCCCACAGAAGCCTCTCAGTAGACAGGATGCTACTAGGAAGGAAAGGGGCCCAATGGAGCGCCAGCTAATTTGAAGTCTGTTAGGACAGCAGCTGCCGTGAGTCGAGGCCACAGACACAGCCCTGGAGAGCTCAGCAGCGTCCAGTGGCCATGGAGCTGGCTGACTGGGGAGTGGCCACCGGCCACCAGCTCCCCAGGCCTTCCCTCGGCGTGGAATGTGGGAACGTTCCTCCTCACCTCCCACCCAGAGCTCCTGGCGGCTCTGATTTGGAAAATGGGATGTAGTTTCCCTGTAATGGACTGGCGGCCTCTTCTGGACAGAGTCCCGGGCTCAGGCACCGTCCCGTGTCCCTCTCTGGTAGCCCTTGCATCTGTTCATCCTCTCCGTCCCACTGTCCTCGGCCCTCCAGGCACCCGGCAGGGCACAGGCATGCCACACACCCCGACCCCACAGGACAGCACGTTCCCTTTCCCTGAGGGGCAGCGTGAGGCTCGTGGGCACGCGCCCCTGCACGGCCAGCAGACGCCGCTTCTTCCCGCTGCTGGCTCCGTTCTGGCCACCAAGCAAGGGCGATCAGGCAAGGTCGTTTCATGACAGGAGCCCGAGGGCTCAGCTCTGGGCCCTCCTCCGGGGGTGGACGCCTTCCCCAGCAGGCGTCAGCTGCTGGCCCAGAGTCCTTCAGCAGCAGCGAGCAGAGCTCTGACAGTCGCCTTCTCAGGGGACTGCAACACGGATGTGCCCGTCCCGTGTGCGTGTCTGGTAGGCCACCCAGAGCTCGGTCCACCATGATTATGTGCAGGTTGCATTCCAGACAGAAAGGCTGATTTCGACTAGACGTTTTGTTTTTAATGGCCAGAGGGCTTGCCAGGAGGGGAGGGGATGCACCCCCGATGGAGCTCGGTTACACCACAGTCCCGGCCCCTCCGTTTCGCTTCCCTGCCGGGAGTCTGGATTGCATGCACACAGCGAGGGTGTTTCTTGAGCTGCCAGAGCTGGGATTCGAACCGTGCGCCCAGGGCTCCACTGCTGTGTTGTGGAGCCAGCCCGAATCCTACAGTTGCCGGGTGCTGAGCAAGCCACAGCCGCTAGGCCCTCCCAAGCTCCCAGTTCACCTGTGGGCTGGGGCTCGCACCCTGCAGTGTCCCACAGTTGCATTTACAAATGCAAAGACGTGGGCAGTGGAGTCGGAGTCATCCAAGCTCCAGTGACCCTCCTGGTCAGCTCATGCCCCCGACCGTAGTCTCCCCAGGGCAGCTCTGCCATGCAGGTGCTGAGGGCTGACCTGTTGCCTCGAGGTGGGGGGGGCCCACGGGACCTTCCGCTCCAGCATGACTGACTGCTCCACACGGGGCGAGGAGGTGACTGGCCACTCGGCACAGGCTCTGCCGCTTGTCCAGGGAGGGATGTGCAAAACGCTGATACTGTTTGCAAGTATATAACTTCTTGTAATAAAACTGAAAAATTACAATTTGCGTTCAATTGTATGTTCCTTTAAAATATTTAAATGGGTACAAACTATATCCCTATATGAGATGAATAGCTTCACCACTAGCAGGCATCGTCTCTGGGTGCTGGGCTGAGGCTTCGCTCCTGTGCACCTTCCTGTGTCCGTAAGTGCTCATAACAGGCACTTGTCGCTTCGGAGTAAAAGAAGGCTGCCCCAGGGGTGCATCCCAGCCCCACGCCAGGCCCCACGTGTGTCCTCACACTCCCTTCCGTGATCACGGGACGGCACTGACGCTGTTGCGTGTCCCAGCCCCACGCCGGGCCCCACGTGTGTCCTCACGCTCCCTTCCATGATCATGGGACGGCACTGACGCTGTTGCATGTCCCAGCCCCACGCCGGGCCCCACGTGTGTCCTCACGCCGCCCTTCCGTGAACACAGACTGCACTGATGCTGTTGCGTGTCCCAGCCCCACGCCGGGCCCCCCGACACTGTTGCCTCTCCCTTCCTTTGCAGGATGAGAAGAACCAAGTCCTGACCACCAACATCTGGCTGCAGATGGTAAGCTAAGAGCTGTGCCTGACCCTGGCGTCTGTCTCGCTGTGCGCTGTTGAGCTGCAGTGCCAGGAGCAGGCCCCGTGGCCGGCGTAGTGGGAAGGTGCCTGGGGCAGCCCGGGGAGCTGCGAGTGCTCTGTGGAAACTCCTCGCGGCCTGGTTCTCACTCCGCGGGAGCCACTGGGCTGTTTCCCGGAGTGTTGTCCAGGAGAGCTCTCAGAGCAGGCAGTCTCCCGCCCCCAGAAGTGAGCCTGCCTGTGGGGGGTGGGAGGGAGCAGAGGCAGCGGCCGGCTGGAATTACCCCGGCAGAGCGGGCGGTTCACCCCCCTCAGGGTCACCTGAGATGGGGAGGCTCCATCCCAGCATCCTGCAGCCTGGGACGCCCGGCTGCACTTTCCGACCGTCTCCATGTGCCGCTGACACCACCGTCTGTGTGTCAGTCCTGGACAGATCACTATTTGCAGTGGAACGTGTCGGAATACCCGGGCGTGAAGACCGTGCGCTTCCCAGACGGCCAGATTTGGAAGCCGGACATCCTTCTCTACAACAGGTGAGCCGGGCAGGGGGCACACGCCAGCATCCCCGAGGGCCGGGCTTCTTGGTCCCTGGGCCTGCCCGGCCACCTTCTCAGTGGCCAGGCTCAGGCGGCCTAGACCCCACCACCATGCTCTGTGCCCTCACAGGTTCGGGTGGCTGGCTCGTGTCCTGACGTGGTGGGCCGCGAGGTTGTCATGGCTGCATCTCGGCTCATGGGACGTTCTTGTGAACGTGGTGGCCTTGTCTCCTGAGTGGCACAACTGCCACAGATGGTGCCGGCCCAGGGGTGCTCGCCTGGCACCCTCGTGTGGGTCCAGTCAGCCCAGAGCAGAGAGACGGAGGAGCGGGGCCACGTGCCAGATCTCAGGTGCTCCTGGGATGCAGCAGGGAGGAGCCAGGTGCTCACCCACAGGAGGGGCAGGACTGCCGAGCGCTGGACGGTGGGGAGGCCAGGGCTCCCCGCAGAAGGGATGGCCATGCACAGGGCCTGCAGGAGAGCTCGCGGAAGACATGGAGATGCAGCGAGGAGGGAGGAGTGTCTGAGGGCCAGCGTGCTCACCTGCACCCTGCACCCTCCTGGCTCTCAGCTGAAAGGTCTGTGTCTCTTGGTCACGGTCCCAGGACCCTGTGGAGGTCCTCCCTCCCTCTCCCTCCCTCCTTCCCTCCCTCTCTCCCTCCTTCTCTCTCCCCCTCTGTCAGTTTCTCTTGCTCACGGAAGTACATGAATGAACATTAAGAAGGAAAGACTTAGGAACCAGCAGTTAGCGTAATGGCTATGTCCCTGGACTCCCATGTAGTCGACCGTGGTTCGAGTCCCAGACCCGGAGGCTTAAACTCATGCTGGGCACGTGTGCTTGTGTGCCCAAGATCCCGAGAGGAGAATGGAGGAGAACGGATTGTGGCGCGGCCATCCCCCCTGGGGGGTGATTTCTTACTCTCTGTCTTCCTGTCTCTCTGTCTGTCTGGCCAGTGCATGCGCCCTATAGGGAAAACCTCTCCAAAAAAAAAAAAAGGGGGGGGAAGGAAAGACTCGGAGGTCGTCTCGGACACACTCAGTTCTTACTTGTGCAGGGCCATCTTTTTATTTTTTTAATTTTTGTGCGCTTGCCAGAGAGAGAGAAGCGAGAATGACCGCTCCACAGTCCCTTCCCACGTCCCACTGGGGTTCGGCACGCCTGCCGTGTGCATCCACATCATACAGCGGGGCCCTGGTGTGCTGAGAGGCTCCAGCCCCTGCCTGCAGCTGCCCAGCTGGGGCTGCCAGACCCCGGCTCACTCGCCGTCCTGGGTCGGGGCTGCCCCGTGCGCATGCTCCTGGGGCTCCCGCGTGTGCGTGTGTGTGTGTGTGTGCACGTGCATATTTCCCACAAGTTAAAGCAGGGCACATGTCCCCCTCACTCCAAAGCAACCCACTCCCTGACCCCTGGCCGCCCCAAATCCCTCCCGCTTTCCCTCTGGAAGAGAAGTTTGCCCGGGTTCCTGCCGTTCTCCACAGATTTCCCCCAGCCCTGACGCCCTCCGTTCCTGTCCCCCGGCCCCTTCCAGCCACTGCTGGCCACAGAGGCCACGCTCGCAGCGGGCAGGGATGATGACAGGCAGCCGATCGCAGGACTTTGAGGGCGTCTCACAGAGATGGTGCTGTGGCCAGCGAGCAGTGCTCCCGGAGGACAGAGCTGCACTAGGGGCCAGGCCAGCTGGCTCCTGCGGATGGGGCCTGGCCGGTCCAGGGAGCAGCCCCGCCCTGTCCCTGAGCCTGCCCAGATGAGCCCATTGATCTTGGTGACACGGAGTGCGAGTCAGCAGGCCGGAGGCCATGCAATAAATATGCGGGACAGCGATCGATGGAGTGCCGGCGCACGTGGCTGCCGGGCGGGGGGGCGGCAGTGGCCAAGGTCAGCCTCCTCGCCCGGGCCCAGTGCAGCCCAGCGCATGGAGGAGCAGGGGAAGCTGTGGTCACTAGAGGGGCTGGACCCCTGGCCGGGACCCGAGTGTTCTGAAACCTGGAGAACTGGGTGTCCCTCTGGCCAGGCCACCGCCCAGTGCAGCTGCTGCTGTGGCCCCAGCTCAGCCCCCCGAGGACCACATCTCCGAGAGCACCTGTGTTGCCTCCCCGAGCCACTGTAGTGACAGGCCACTGCCCTGGGCGCACTCCTCTGACCCCCAGTGGCCTTCAGAGAAGCAGTCAGGAATCACTACCCTGACACATCGCGGAGGGGATGGCTGGGCCGAGACCTTGATGCCAGACGCTCACTCTCGGTGAGCTGAGGGCCCTGGAGGTGACTGGGCCCGGGGCGGAGGGTACTGGTCCACCTCGAGATGGGAACACGACCTTGGGAAGCGAGGTGCAGTTGTCTGCTCAGTTGTATCTCAGCTCTGATGGTGAGAAAGCGATGCCCGTCGGTTAAGCTGGCTTGGCCATGGCTTTCTGTTCTAGGAGCCAGACCCACGGACAGCGCTTGCCTTGGGGTCTGGCTGAGCCCTGCGAGGGCAGTGAAAAATTACATGTCTAAGTATTGCATGACAGAGGAAGGTCTAAATATTACGATTCTAGTTCATCCGCTACCTAAAAATTGGCTCCCCTGACAAAGTTTGCTAATGAAAGATTTAAACAGCAAAGAGCAGAGGCAATGGCTGAGCCAGACAGCAGCCAGGATCCATGACGCGAAAGTGAAGCCCCGTCATAGAACGCTCCTCACAGACCCCTCTAGCCACAGCCCTCGTCCCCTCCCCTGGCCAGTGGCAGGGACCCCTGTCTCTGCATGTGGGACTCAAAGAGCAGAGGTGAGTGTGCTCACACGGTTCACGTGAGCAGTGGGCCCTAGCGTGGACACACCCCGTGTGTTTGACCTGCATCCGGTATGGGATGCCCGGGGAGTGACAGTCTTGGGCCGTTATGAATACAGTGCTCCGCACTCCTGTGCAGAGTTTTAAAACATTTTTGTTTGTAATTGCCAGAGGGTGTCCTCCCTGACCAGCGAGAGACAGGAGGAGAGAGGGTGAGAGTGAATACAGCGCTCCTGTGCAGAGTTTTCATTTTTGTTTGTAATTGCCAGAGGGTGTCCTCCCTGACCAGCGAGAGACAGGAGGAGAGAGGGTGAGAGAGAACCCCGCAGTGGGGCTTGGTCACGCTCCAGTCCCTTCTCCGTTTCTCTGTCCGGTTGGGATTTAGTCTGACAGCTGACTATAGATCAGTGTGTCAACGAGAAAGAGCCATGAAAGCTGCAGTCACAAATGTTGGGTGCACTTTGACCACGACCTCTGGTGCGGTCCCGTCCATCCCAGTACTGTGTTCTGGATGTCCGGAACCCGCACGCCACCGAGTCACACAGCCGAGCCGTTGCCAGTGGCAACAGCATCGCCTCGGTCCACCTGCTGGCCTTGTAACCCCAAGGCTTTCCAGTCAAGTTGGCCCAGCGCTGGGAGGAAGAGCTTGGGGAACTGGGATTTCCCAGCTGCGTCACTGTCCCGGCCCGCAGGACAGTCGAGCAGGTTTCCTGAGGGAAGGAGTGAGAGACGGGATGAGCAGTGGAGACCACGCAGTGTTACAACTCTTCAGGGTCCTCCGTTTATTGTGGGCCAGGGATTGTGGTCATATACATGCTGGTGGGTGGTGATTGGTTAAATGAAGGTTTGTAAAAGGTGGGTTATGATTGGTTGCTTTTGTGGACCAATCATGAGGTGCCAGATATGCAAATTTGAGGGATTCTAAGCTCACCAATCGGTGAGAGCTATGGGAAGTGGCCAATCAGAGCCAGGTTTTGAAGGGAAGGTTTTGAAGGGGAGCCAATCATGGCCTTTGGCATTGTGTAATTGTTTGCTCTCTGAGGAACCGAAACCTAAGGGCTTCCTAAGATGGCAATAGTGAGAGACTCATGAAGGTGGCCTCGGCAGACTCCTGGTGCACAGCCTTCCATACGTCACTGTCCACCAGACACTCGTGGTCTCCGTCGTGACTATAAAAGCCAGATACGAGGGAGCCCAGACTCAGAGTATGCGAAACCCTGTGTCCTGGGCCATCATGTTGTGATGGTTTGTGCTGTTGCTACTGTGGCTGCGCCGCGGCGAGGACACCCCCTGCAGGTCCGCAGCGGCGTGTCCTGACACACACCCAGCTGGGGGAGTGTCAGGTCAGCCGGGGAAGGCGGCTGGGGCCCACGTGGCTGACTGCGCGGTCGGAGTCTTAGACTGGTGGCCCTTGAAACAGCTGGTTATGCATGGTTGCATGTGTATGCCCAGAATCCCCGAAGGAGGGAGAACGGAGAAGGGACTGCAGCGTGAGCGTGCCCCGTGAGGGCGACTTCTTACCTCCCCTCTCTCTCCGTCCCTCTCCAGCAAACACGCATTATCATATAAAGCATGCTGGGGCTGGCGAGGTACATGGTGGCTGGGGCGCTGGCCTCCCACACGGCTGACCGCAGTTCGAGCCACTTCCCCCTCTCGTGAGCTCATGTGTCCTAGAGCAAGTTGAAAGAAATGATCATAACTAAACTTAAATAAATGTAAAAGGCGTGTCAGCCACAGCATCCTGCGAGAGCTCAGTGCTCTGTGTGAAGTGGCGCTTCGGTGGGCCGTACAGGGGCGAGACTGCGCTCCTCTGAGGGGCCGGCTTTCATGGCCACCTCATAATACAAGGGAGAGGAGATGCCGGGATCCGGCTCGGAGACACCCCAAGCACCTCCTCAGAACCTCGGGCTCCAGACGGCCTGACTTAGAGCTCTGCACTCTGGAGGGTCTTCGTGACCCAGGGTCACTGTTCCGACCAGTCGCAGCTCCATCCGGCCTGTGTCCCCTGTCCACACCCTCCTGGTGGGCTTGGCGTGTCCTTCCACGATGGCGTGGTCTTCCTCCCTGTCCCCTGCTCCCACCCTCCCTCCCTTCACACTTCACTCACTTTTGTCTGTTCTGTATTCAGATCAGGACTCCCTCGCAGTTTTCCCCTGAAATTTCAAGTTGCCTTTGTTCTTATTCGGAGAGTTTTCATCCACCCTACTCTGAGTCCCCGATGTGTTCCGAGACCTCTGCAGAGGTTTCCCAGGCACTGCTCGTGTGGAAATCCCTTTTCTTCCTTCCTCTTCTTCCCCTAAGCCTGTTTATTTGCCGTCTTCCCCAGGAGACTGGCAGATAGCACAGCCCCGCCTCCTTATCTGTCCCACGAGCCAGAGGAGCAGCGAGGGCTGGGACGGCGGGGCCCTGGCAGTCTCCACCCGGTCCCGTGCACATGTGCGCCCGTGTGTCCAGGAGGTCTCTGGACACGGACTATCCCATGTGGGCCAGCCGTGTACCTGCCCTGCCGGCCCATCTCTGCTCTCCGGTGTCCCCCTCCACCCCTCTCTGCTCCCTGCCCCCCGCCCGCCCCCTGGGTCCCCCCCCTCCGTCCTCCCTGCCGCTCCTGGTGGAGCTCGGAGAGGTGGCCGTGCCCCCGAGCTGGTCCTCGGTGTTTCTCGGCCAGACCTCCCACTCCCACTTCCCAGCTCTCACTCTCCTCGTACCGTGTGACCCACGCGCTACCTCCTGCGTCTCTGTGGGTGCGGGCCAGTGTTCCAGGTGTGTCCAGGCACACAGTGCTCAGGCCTCGAAGAGCAGCTTCCTTCCTCTCTTGTCTGTCCCCGGGACACGTCCCCTGTCTACCTGGGTTGGGTCTCAACCGTCTTCGGACCTTCGAACCTCTCGAGCACCTATTTCCTGCCAAGGGGACCCCGGCCGGGGCAGGCTGCCTGGGGCTGGTTGCATGCGGAGGGAGCCACTGGGAGCTCCTGGCTGCAGGAGGCCAGGGCAGGTGTGGGGGTGGGGCACATCCAGGAGTTGGCTTCCCACTGCCTCTTCCCTGGCCACCGAGCGTGGTGACAGAGCCTGGCCTGGGCCTCTGTGGACACAGCTCCTTCCCGACTCAATTGTGGCTATTCACGATGGAGACACCGACTTGGCCTGGGCTGCTCATGGGGGCTGGGCTCGGGGTCAGGGGGTGCGGCTCTCACCCACTGTGCTCCCTGTGGATGGAGTCCCCGACTGGGGCAGATACCCGCCAGGTTAGGGTGGGACCTGGGGCAGGCGGGTGGCCCAGACCAGGGCGGGGAGCAGGCTTACATGCCCTTTCTGTCCCCAGCGCTGACGAGCGGTTCGATGCCACGTTCCACACCAACGTCCTGGTGAACTCCTCCGGCCACTGCCAGTACCTGCCTCCAGGTAAGACGCCCTCCCAGCCCCTCCGGGTGAGGACGCGAGTGGTCTTGCCGGCCTGGGGAGTGCCGAGTGGTGCTCCTGACGTCTGCCCCGTGCCCCTTCTCCTCTCGCACCTCCAGAGCCCTTTCTGGACTGCCAGCCTTTGCACCCATTTCTTATCTGCCCGTCCCTCGAGGCCACCCTGAGGGGGCTCCCCACCCTCCTCACTGCAAGCCAGGCCGCACTGCCCGGCCGCCCACCAGGTGCTGTGTTGCAGTGGGGTGTCAGGGACCCCGGCTGGCCAGGGCAGGGGCCACACGGGACACGGCCAGGGCAGCTCCTCGGCAGCCCTGGTGCTTCCATGTCAGGACTGAGTCCTCTCCCCGCACCCGCAGCTCATTCAGCCACACAGGACTGCCCCGAGGCTGCCCAGGGGTCCTCCCAGACGGGCCGTCTTCAGGGGCTCTTGCCATTTCAGGTCTCATGCACCCTCACTACAGGCTCACACTCCGCCTCTCTGCCACCACACTCACATCACACTCACTCAGACATGCACACTCACTCAGACATGCACACTCAGACATGCACACTCACTCAGACATGTACACTCACACTCAGACACACACACTCATATGCAGACATGCACACTCCACACAGACATGCACACTCACACTCACTCAAACATGTACACTCACTCAGACATGCACATTCACAGACACGCACACTCACTCAGACACGCACACTCACACACATGCACACTCACTCACATGCACTCACACTCAGACATGCACACTCACACTCAGGCACACACACTCACATGCAGACATGCACACTCCACGTAAACATGCACACTCACACTCACTCAGACATGCACAGTCACTCAGACATGCACATTCACAGACATGCACACTCACACACATGCACACTCACTCAGACATGCACTCACATGCAGACATGCACACTCACACTCAGACATGCACACTCACTCAGACACGCACACTCGCACACATGCACACTCACTCAGACATGCACACTCAGACATGCACACTCACTCAGATATGCACTCACACTCAGACATGCACACTCACACTCAGACATGCACACTCACTCAGACATGCACGTTCACAGACATGCACACTCACACACATGCACACTCACTCAGACATGCACTCACAGACATGCACACTCACACTCACTTAGACATGCACGCTCACATGCTCACACACTCAGACATGCACTTGCACTCAGACATGCACACTCACACTCACTCAGACATGCACTCACACTCAGACATGCACATTCACAGACATACACACTCACACTCAGACACGCACTCACTCAGACATGCACTCACACTCACTTAGATATGCACTCACACTCACTCAGACATGCACTCACACTCACTTAGACATGCATGCTCACACACTCACACACTCACCCCTCTTCAGAGCTATTTCTCAGCTCCTCCGCATTCCTGTTGTCTCTTAAACCTCCAGTCCTTACTTCGGGTACTCAGCGTCTGAAACTACTCCTGTGACCCGCAGGCAGGGCTCGCTTTTCCCACAGAACACCCTCAGAAAGCAGTCCCTGGGGCAAGTGGGTGGCCCAGACCAGGGCGGGGAGCGGGCCTGTCAGGGTAGCGTCTGGCTTGTTAAAGCTGCCAGGCTGAGCGAGGCATCTGCAGGGGTTTAGAGAAGCCGCGGCTGTGCGGCTGGGTTGGTGGCCGGCTGCCCGGTTCGAGTGGCGTCCACAGCCCGGCTCCGCCCGGCGCTGCCCGCCGGCCTCTTCCCCACGGCCTG